ATATATGTACATAACGTATCATCCTAATTGATAGCATTGTCTTCCCTTCTTTTTTCAGGCCGGCCGATATCAACTTACCCGAACTTTGTCTTCTATTTCTTTTGGATTCTGTAACCTTCCCCACCCCCCTCCTACCGCCCTCTTCCCACATGGATTTTTCTTCTTTCAAAAGGGGAGGATGTACAGGGTTGACTATCGAATTTTATATTTTTTTTCTACGAAATAATATTTTTGTTTTATTATTATTATCAACACGATCGTATTTTATTATTTTATATTTTGTTTTTGTATATTTTCAAAAAAAAAAACAAAATGGAAAACAATATTCTTTACGATTTTAATAAAGTTATATTATATAATTTTTGTTCTCTTTTTTTTAAACGACTTATATATTTAAGTGATTTATATTATTTATGAGAGACGTTACAGTCGGAGAGGGGTCGTGGTGGTGGGGGGGATTGATGTCATGAGGATAGTTACGATTGCCAAATAGGATATTTTTTATGAAGAAACATTTTCATTGCAAAATGGGGGCTGGTCTATCACGGAGCCGAAAAGACGTCGCCAGCCGAATGGCATCTTCTCATGCGGAAAAGTGATGACCAACCGAATTCCTCCCTTGGTTTCCCTTGGCTTTAATCGATCTACGCGTTTGAATTCTTAAAATGTCCTTGAAGCTTCGCGAAAGAAGATAAAACGATTTGGCACGCAGACATTCGAGGATAATTGATATTATTTCCTTCTTCGATTATCTTCTCTCTCTCACTCTCTCTCTCTCTCTTTCGTATTTGTCTTTTTATATTTTTTTAAATAACCAATTAAATGTCGTTAAAAAAGAAAAAATTAAGGAATACACAATCCAACAAGATGGCAATCAACAGAGGTTTAATTAAATTTTGTAATTTATTTATTCGTGATCGAAGTTCGTTGACGTGTAAAAAGAAAAAATTGAATGAAAAGAAAACAAACGTGGATATTATTATGATCGAACGATGATATTTTTGTTAAAAATTGATTAAATCAAATATTTGAATTTACACATATCGTTTTTAATATAACAAGAAATATAAGTAACCCGGAAATATTATTTACCGATCCCCTTCCACAAGCTTCGATCTCGTGTTCTAATGGATGTTCAGTAAAGCAACCCTCGAGTCGTCTTCTTTTCAGATCGTTCAATGGAATTTTATGACAAGGTCTATCCTCCAAACCATTAGTATATTCGAATGGTGAAATAGTAACGGGAGTTACTCGGAGTCTTTCGTAACAAGTTGGGTACATACTGTCGACAACTAGGAACAATAGATTCGTATGAGGAACCTAAAATTATACAAATTATTAAAACATACTCATTCGTCCTCTAAGTTTGTTATATTAAACCCATTTCGTTATGACTAATATTGTTCCATATAAATTAGCTCATGGATACGACGAGCATGTTATGAATAATAATTGGTAACACGAAAGGGTTAATATAAATAAAATTAAACGATAGTTGTAATATGAATAGTTTAAAAAGGTAATAATAATATTATGAGAAAAAAATAATATTGATACTAACTCGTTGCGCGTAGTACGGTTTCGAACAATGTTCAGGATTATTTCTAACAACTTTGGCAGCCACAGTTTCATTCATCATATACAACGTTCTCTTTTGATCACACGGATAGTGATAGAGATAGGGGCGTGCTGGAGGTGGTGGATCCGGTGCATCTTCGTCTGGGTGAACTTTAGCGTAGGCAAGAGGCAAGTTTACGAACTGGGTCGTAAAACACGTCACTCTCGATAGAAACCAGAGCAATAGTTTCCACAGATAAGTTAACGGATTCGTTGGAATGTTTGCTCCACCTTCTGTACACTGAAAAATATTATTTTCTTTTTTCGAATATATATATATATATATATATATAATATTTTTACCGACTAAAGTTCGATGCCACTTTATCGATTCACGTATTTCTTATCTGACTTCGCATATACTCTCCGTTACGAATATTTTTCTCTTTTACTTTTCAATTAATTAATCTTACTTTAATAATATACGAATCATCATTTTACATACCACTTCTTCGCACCAAGCTTGGTAATCGTAGATATCGACGGCATTGAAGATACCTTGTTGAACCATAGAATGCATAACCGCACCTTCCTGAGTCCCCATAAACTCACCGGTATCATTGTAAGCTTCCGATATAATTATAAAACCATTTTGATCCAACAAATAACAATCTATCCACGTTTGATTGCAACTCATTTTCAATTCGTTATTGTCCGACGTTAATTCGACGAACTTTTGGTACAAACCTTCCATCGTCATTTGAAAACCTATCACCGCTGCTGGCGCTTTTTTTCCACCGTATTGTGGAAATATACCCATTGATGCTGTTACTATAGCATCTTCCTTAGCTTCCCATGGAACTATTAATTATTATGAATATAGAAACATTCAATTCATTCTTTTCTTTATATTTTGAATAAATTTACTACATAAATGTGTATTATATTTTAAAGAATTTAAATGAAAATTACCTGATATGGAAATACTATCAGGGTCCAAATTATTTTGAAAAATGGCACCCTTGTACCATGGCTCGTTGACGGCTCTTCTGTGAAGATCACCAAATTCAATGCCATCGTCTTCATCTGGCAATTCTTTGGTTACCAAATGATGCCACCTGGTAAGCCCGCTTTGCGTAGCAACGAATCTTAGAAATATTTTATAAGTTTCTGCCAATTGTCTAACAACTGGATCATCGACTACGTAATCACCGGCAAAACTATTGTTCGTAGCTTTTGCATCGAATATCAACAATTGCATGAGTTCTTTATTACAATAATAATCGTCGTGGAACAAGGTTTGTCTGCCGCATTCTGGGTCATCGTCGAGCGAAACGTTATCAGATATGGGATAAGCCTCGTATTGGTCGGACCATCGCCATTCCGGTTTATCTAACAGTCCTAAAAAGTGACGTAACTCGTCTTCCGGCGTGTCAAATTCGTGACCCTCCAAATAATGAAAGCGACAATAAACCCAGCCAGGATGTACGCGCCAATAATTGCCAACGAAAAAATCACCATTGTTTATTCCTTTCTCTTGGTTCCTTAGAATTTCGTCTCCTACCTTTTGTAATTTAATTTAAAAAGAAAAGAAAAGAAAAAAATCAATTCTCGAATGATTACAAGTCGAAGATATTCTTGTTATACAAAGTACGATATGTCTATTTAAATCGACCTACTTTGATCCAAGTAGTACCATAATTGGGCAATGCAACCGCAAGACCAAATGGTGTACCAGGTAACGGTGCATAAAAATAGTCACGTCTTTCCAAAGTCACGCGACGATAATCATCGTAGTGAAGTTTAACCGGTACGTCTCTCATGTTGCCGCGTTTGTGATCAACCAATGCCGAACGTAGTGCCAATATTTCTGGTCCAGGATTCCTATCGTTCGTTTATTTAATTAAATAAATCTAAATTAATATATCTATCGAACACATATTTATTATATAATTTTGCTCGCAAATGTTTTTTCCTTTAGCGCGAAGTTTATCGAATAATAATAATAATAATAATAATCTCATACCTTGGACCACGACCATCGTCAAGAATTTCAACTTCGGTTAGATCAACGCTATTGTAATTCAATTTGAGTCTTCCTTTGTGTACCGGTCTTAAATCAGGATGTAATATAACGTAACCGTTGTTCGATACTATAAATGCGTAACCATTTACGCCAAGTTTGTAGGGCAAAGTTAGTTTCCTAATATCATCTATGGGAACGTCGGTACCCGCTATACCAAGTAAATTAGCTTTTCTGGTTCTATTGTCGCGATTTCCTTTCCGATCGAATACCGGCGTGCTAACGGACGTTAGCAATCTGTACTCTTGCCATGATGTTGTGTTCAAACTGGCCGGATCCCTTCTCACGTCTTCACTTTTATGCAACTAAGAAGAACAACGAAACAATATTTCATTCTATTTCCAAACATTTAAACGCGACAAATTATCATCCCCCCTCACATTAACGTTTGTTTTTCATCCATAGATCAAAAATATTTTAAATCAAAACAGCAAAACATAATGGAGAAAACGAACTACTCTAAATGCAAATAGGGCGGTGGTGGTGGTGGTGATGGTGGTGAGGGTGTATGTAATGGGGCTAATTAAAAGAGCATCTATAAACAAATTAATATCCAACTAATGAACAATAGATAAACTACGCTATTAACATTGCTAATAAAAAATAAACAGATATTTATAAAATGGCGGATTTGAATATCAGTAGACGATGAGAAAACAACGTTTTTTTTCTTTCTTTCTTTCTTTTTAGATCCAAAAAATATAAGGAAAGTTCTCATTGTCTTCTGTATATCTTACAATCAGTTTCGCACAGCCGTGAGAAAATAAAAGATAAAACTAAAGAAAAAAAAAAAGAATAGGAAAAAATAAAAGAAAAATATAAGGGGGATGGGGGATAAAAAACATATCGGAAGCTTCAGGTGCAAGCAGGGGTTTTCTACGGGGTTTTTAGAATAGTTTTTGTTTGTTTGTTGCTTGCTTGCTTGCATGAACCTTCTTTATGTAGATGGCATCCTCGTTTATTCGCACTCCCAGACGTTTTCCCTTGAGGTACTTCTCGAGACGGGACTTTTGCTTCTCGTGCTTCATCACTTCCCATAGCCACGTGGCAAGTGCTGGATTCTAATGGAATTCGTATGTTTAATACGAAAAATCATAAGCTTTTTCTTATCACTTGCTTCGATTCCTTTCTTTCTTTCTGTTTTTTATTTTTTTTTTTTTTTTCAACGATATTTTAAGAAAATTATTGAACATTTATTATTGTTCCTGCATTGATTTTTGAACGAAGAAAGATGATTTATTTTTCTCATCGCACAATTAAATCCATAATTTATTATTTCGATTCGATCTCGATCTAAAAATAATATTGCAGTTTTGTTTTTTTCTCCGGACCCATCCCCTCTACCCCTCTTCCCTCTCGCTCCCCCCCCTCCGCACCCTTCCCACGATCAAAAAAAAATTAATCTTTTACACATACGCGTAAGAAACGTAATTAATTTTGATTTATGTGATAATGTTTTATTTATAAACGTAACTGGATATATACGTAAAACAATAAGAATACCCTGGAAGAAAGTTGGGTTCCTTTCCCCTCAGCCCCAAGGCCCCTCCCCTGTCCCCGGTTTATGGCAACGACAGCTATGAGGTTTCGCGGTCGTTTGTTCCGCTATCGCGTAACAAGAAACCGACGAAGATGACTACGTGGTTCTTCGGATAACATAAACACGCTGATCTCGCGTTTTTTTTTTATTCCACGTTCTTTTCGATGGATAACGAAGACGATCATTGGCCGCCAAATGCGAACGTGTCGGTGTATTATTGACATTAATTTTGGTCATTAATTTTTATAATCGACACGATTATTCAAATAATTGAAACGGAATCATTTGTATTTATTGTTTGTAATCTACGTATTATTATTATTATTATTATTATTATTAATGAATTCATTTTAAATGGAAAATTTTTAAGAGTAAACAAGAAAATTTGATTTTAGAAAGAAGAAAAATATAAAAAAAAAAAAAAAAGGGAAAGTAACGTGAAGTATCGTATAATCAAAATTATCTTATCGTGTGTTATCAACATAAGTATGCGCGTTCACACATGTATTATTAATTTAAATTTTATACAAAAAACTCGTGAATATCAGTAACAGTCAAATGTGAACAATTTGAGTTCTCTATCGTGAAAAAATAGATCGTAATGAAAAAATTCGACACGATTATTCGAATAATTAAACGAATCATTTGTATTGTTTCTAATGAAGATATTATGAATAAAATTTGATTTTAAAATGATAAGAAGAAGAATAAATAAAAAGGAAAGTAACGTGAAGAAGTATAGCATAATCAAAATTATCTTACCGTGCTATCAGCATAAGTGTGCGTCCACACGACCGGGTGCTTCACATCTTGAAGAACTAAAGGTCGTGCGACAACGGGTATATACTTGAGCACCTGTTCGCGTACTTCTTCTTGTGTATGCACGTGGGTATAGTAACCACGATTAAGACAGGCCATCCATTGGATTTCGCGTACCTTCGTGACCTCTTTACCCAAGAGGTAAGTAAACACGCGTACTGGTATATGTGTATTATTATCTTGCCAATTCCATGTTTGAAACACCTGTAAAACACACGAGAAAGAAAAAGAACAATCGAAAATACGGTATTAATTATTATTATTATTATTATATTCCCTCGTTTAGTTTGGATGAAAAACAACAAAAAAAATATTATATTTCAAAATATTACCTCATTAAAACACGCGAATAATAATAATAATAACGGTTTAGAATTTCTTTTTTTAAAATGTTTATCAGATGTCTCGGTGTTAAATAATACGCTTACGAAAAATTTACGTTATAATCTGTTCGACGTTGAAACGCATACTTTGCAAAAAAATTCTTCGCGATTAAGATCACAAATGTGATATTTATATTTTTGCAGTCTTCTCTTTTAAAAAGTATTGCGAAATTAAATTAAACGGCTTATGATTTAATTATATGAACTAGAAAAATTTTGAAATTAAAACAAAATCTAAATGATTAATATTTAATGCCAATCTTCGTCAAAATGTTTAACTCAGTTTTGATTGATAAAATCGATAATTATATAAGAAACAAAATTCGCGTAATAATATACTAAAGATAATAATGTAATTAGAATAAGAGGATAGTGTGATAGTGATACACGTGTTATTCTAATTGTAAGATAAGAAGGGAGATAAGAAAGATAGATCAACAAAAAAAGAAAAAGTGAGAAAATGGGGAAGGGGAAGAAACTTCTATCATACTTGGCCTTTCGAGTGGGATCTCATAAAATTGAAGAGGTACTCTTAGAAGATACCGTTCGGAATGCAACCCTTTTTTCATACCGAGAACATTCTGGCACAGGAGTACCACTTACTTTTACGTTCACTTTACGATCGAAAATATTCTTCAAAACCGAATAATAATAATAATAAATGACCCAGATACACTTATATTTCTATCTTTTTCTTTTTTTCCTCGTATATATCGGCCATTATAAAATCATAAACGCGATATTATAGTAAGATAAGAAAAATCATGATATTTTTTCTAAAGTAACATAATTGTATTGATTAATCGAATACCTCTGATAAATTACCAGGTACTCCATCGGTAACTAACATGATCAATTGATTGCACGGTGTATCTGCATTACAACCACGTGTTTCTCGATAAGTTTTGAGCAAACTAAAAGCTCTTGTAAAGGCTTCGGTTAAATTGGCGACACCCTCGGTTTTGATTTCTTTCATTGATTTTTTAAACGTGTCAACGTTCTCCGGTGTCGCTTGGATAAGCATATCTTTGAAACAGGGCACCATATCTTCCGTATTATTGTTGTAACTTAAAAGTGTAACCAAATCGTTGTTCGATAGGGTATCCAGTATCGACATTACCGTAGCCCTTGCTGTATTAGAAACAAATACCAATTGAAAAGTTATTCGTTATTTATTTTATTTATTTTTATAAAACGTTTACCTATGGTTATTCCCATTCCAGTCATGCTACCACTCGCATCCATTAATATGACCATATCCTTGCTACAAGTTGCAGCTTCGATAAACCAACTGCGTACTCTGCAATCGTAAAGATCAACACCTTCGTCAATTGAATCCATTTCTAGATTACCAGTTTTCCATTGCATCGCGGGATAATATCTTAACATTCCTGTGACCGAACCAAAATATTGCCAGGATAACGCAGGATCCGACTCGTAATTTTGTCGGAAGGTTTCGTCTAATATTTCCATTCTATTTATAACCTTTTTTACGGTCGGTGATAGATCGTAAACGTTCGTCGGTATATGTACCGACGAATGCATCGTATTTACAGGTATATTATAGAAATGTGAATCCGATGTTAAAATCATATCTCTAGAAACAAATAAAACAAAACTAAACAAATAATATTACGAACATTTTTTTATTTTAAACGAATCTATAATATCTCGTTATTTCTTCTCTCGCGTATTCATTTATTACTAATAAATATATTTACGATTCTCGTGTTCATTATAAATTATCGATACGATATTTAATGATCACGATACGATGATTTAATAGCTCCTATATTTCTTTTTTTATACGTCTAAACTGTATACAAACTATTGATCGAAATTTTGATTACACCTATTTCGTTTTGTATCAGATACGGTTATGTACAAATTATTAGTCTCAATTTTATCAACGTTTCTTTATTCTTGCACGCGTTTTATTTGACATTACGTTACTTTAGTATATTTTCGAATTATTTGTAACATTTGGAAGATCATATAAGTTGGAATAATTTCAATATGATTCTTACACGAGTACCTCCTACTTCTATCCAAAATTTTGATCTTTAGTCTATGCATATATAGATCCAATTTATGGATTGATCGTTAACCAGTGAACTACTACTAGAATACTATGCATTTACCACAACATTCCCAATTCAACCCCATTCCAATAGCGATCGGCAAATTCCGATCCACGTTACAAACGACACACTGTGCATACGATACAACCACGTAATAATACTACCTGCATAATTCTCAATAGATAATGTAATTGATATATATATAAAATAGATATTACTAATGTATAAAAATAAATTGTAATTCCATTTACAATATTTTTATATTGATCAAATGAAATATCCAATTGTATTTTACCTGTAAATCGCTTGATTCTTTAACATATTTTCAGGAATCTTAAACGACGATTCGTTTAATACTTTACTATATTTTCCCGAATAATATGTAAAATTATTATTAGTATTATTATTAATATTATCGTCATCATCGTCAGACTCAGAAGTACTATTTTCACCACTTGACTCGGCTGCTATGCGAATGCAAGTAACAGCATCCATTTTTCTACGCAACATTCTTCCAACGTTCTCGCTTATTATACTGACCAATTCGTCCCCAGATTTGTCTTGTACTTTGGTATTCATTTTTCTGTAGATCTGAAAAAAAAAGAAAAGAGAAAGACAAAACAAAGAGGAAGAAAACAAACCAACGTTTTACAAGTATCGTTCGAATTGTTTTGTTTTGTTTTATATAATCGTTATACTATGCAATTACTATTGCATTCGTACAAATATAAATTTAAAAAAAAAAAGGGTTTTTTTCCGGATAGATCATTATCCATGATAAAAACATAACACAAGTGGCATCTATGCTTTCAAGCTGTGCTTACAAAGTTCTACCAAGCTACGTTTGCAAGGCTTATGCCATTCCTCAAATATGGCGTCTAATATCTTTTATCTCTAATCATTTTCTCTCTCTCTCTCTCTCTCTCTCTACAATTACATTATTAAAATAACAAAATTCTGGAATGTACGTGTAATTTTATATAATAAAATTAAATAAATAAATAATAAAGGTAATCTATTAAATGAAATAATGTATGAAAATTGAGAAATATTGAATCAGAAGTTAACAGGAATTGATTACCTTAAGAGTAATAGACCAAAGGTTTAGTTATCATAGGTCGATACGATAAATATCTTAAAATCCAACCCTAAGTTTTCGAGTTTGTCCTCATCCCCGATCAAAGAAATCGTCATTGTTCATGAACGAACGCACGACGAAAATAGTCTATCGAGCGTTTACGTTATATCGAGAGCAAGGATGGGGAAAGCATTAAAGTAGAGAATGCGTAAATGCATCATCATCATCATCATGCAATGGCATTATTATTATATACTCACTGTTAATAATTCTCCGGGTCGTGCTACTGCATTAGCCAATTCCCATAAATCTTTACCTATATCTTCTGCCCATTTACTGACACTGCGTGAAACAATTATAAATAAAATAAACAAATTAATCAATTAAAAACAAATCAATATAAACACAGATAGGATTCACACAATCTTAGTTATTTTATCGATCATAGTGATATACGTTTACAATGTTATTCCAAAAGTTGATAGACAATTTGAAAACTCGAGGAATCTTTTCGAAGACTAGCAAAAAAAGAAACAAAGTTCGTTCTTTTTCGTGATTCGTAAAAATATCAGAGACGACCAGTTTTAAACCACGAAGGGCTTAGAAAAAACCTCTCAAGGGGGCTAGGGTGGGGGTAAATGTAATTGATAGGAGAACAAAAAAATCCACGTCAGAAGTTGCGGTCTAGGTGTGGATCGTTGTTTTTTTTTTTTCTTTTTTGTTTAAAATCTTACATTGCATAAAACAATTCTTACGTGTTCTTCTATGATTGGAGATATATCAGGAAAGGTAGCATCGTTTTACATATAGAAACGATGTAAATGAACTCACATGTTAGCAGCATCGTTGGCAAGACAACCGCTACCGATGACGAAGAAGTATACGCAGAGTATAAACCGGCAATCTATCATTCCCACCATCGCCATGACCGCAGGTGTGTGGTGGAAACAGAACTCTCGAAACGTTACAAAAATTTGCAACTTTTTCTTGAACGTTTATATGCGAGAGAAGACAAAAAACAAACAAAACAAAACCAATTACCCTTTTTCTTCTTGTCTTGTCTTCTAACTTGGATAAGAAGATGTTAACTATCTTTTTCTCTCTTTCTTTATTTCTTTCTTTCTTTCTTTCTTTCTTTCTTTCTTTCTCTCTCTCTACGTTCTAAGATTTACTTCAATAAAACGTGAAAACCCTCCTCTTCTTCCAACACCCGGGGTATTATTTTTGGTCTACGTACCTAGCGCCACCTAGAATATCATCCACGGGAACTTTGTTTTACCCGCGTTCTTGTCTCTCTTCTTAAAGTTTGTATTTCGAAAAAATATTCCATTGATTTTCGAATCTCTTCAATATCAAATTGATTAATAATTAATGAAATTGGTCATAAGGAAAGATAGATAGAGAAGTATGAATTGTTTTATCATTCCAATTATAAAATATTCACATTTATCTTACTTATACATCTCAGATGGGGTGTTCAAACTGTTCACCTTTAACTCTCGTCAACTCTTTTCAATTTTATTATGGAATGATTTGTTAAAAACGTTCAAACGTTCCTTGCAAAACTCTATTACAATATATGTGAAATATTAATTGTTATAATAATTAATTTATTCGATATTTCAAGTATCTAAGAAAGATGAATGATGTACTCGATTATCGATTACATAAAACAAAATCATGTTGGCAAATATATAAGTTATTTTTTTGTGTGTAAATGTAAGATTAATATAATCGAATAATTTCTATTTACACGTAATACGTAATTGTAATATATATCATACATATATATATATAGAGCAACAATTTAAGCCAGTTACGTGTAGACGTAGTTAACTGAGGAATACCTTCGAGTCTCAGTTACAATCATTGTAGTTGTAAGGTATCTAGTCGTAAGATAAACAATCTTTTTTTTTTCTTTTTTTTTTTTATTTTTATTTTTCGATTTTATTCTTCACATATATTTTAAAACAACAATCAATTCGAAGCAACGTTCAATAAATAATTCTCACCGTACGAAGGATGTCATATCGATGGTATTTAACCCTTATCGAGTAAACAATTTCTACGAACTTTTCGAACTAAATAATAAGAGACCCTTTCCTTTTTATATTTTTTAACTTCCTAAAAAGTATTGGCAAAAGTGCTTAATCATACCTTTTGTGTATTGGTCAACCTTGGATCCTTCGTTTCTCAGGAACCCTTCTCGTAAACCTTGAGACTATAAAACTCTTTCGAACGTAGCCATAATATTTCTCTACCTTTTTCTTACTTTATTAGTATTCTTTTTTTGTCAACAAGACACGCATTAATATTGCATAGATAAATTTTCAAATAAGGTATAACTAATCTTTCGAACAATATCGCAATTAGAATTTGTTGATAATTTAAAGTAAACGATAACGATTTTTAAATAGGAAATAAACGGCGATGAAAAATGATGATCTAAAAAACAAATTACAAATTTTATCGAGGATTACTCTGTTAATGTTATATTCTCATCTAAATTATGGATCTTTTATTTAAATTATATTGAACAGATATACTTAACTGTAGTTTGTTGAATTAATCGAAAATTTGAAAGTGTGTTCATAAATTTATAAACTGTACAAAACGTTATGATAAATTTTAAACTATTTAATATTTTTTTCTTTACCTTAATCTATATATTATTTAATACAAAAGGGTGAGAGGGGGGTAATGTAATGAAATATAACATTATGCAATTGTTCATTCAAGTTTAGAAAGAAAACCAATTGGAATTGGCGAGGCACATGTGTGTTCGGAGTTGCGGATATGAATGAAAGAGTTCCGGCAAGAAAATTACAACCGACAATGAGTAAGAGAATTAAAGAGAAGTATAATAGTAGGAGAACTAAAGAGTGAGGGAACGAAACAGGTGTATATCTGTGCGAAACTACGCGTGTATGAGTAAGTATTTCTGGCTGTGTGTGTGTGTGTGTGTGTGTGTGTGTGTGTGTGTGTTCATAGAAAAAGGATAAAAATAAGAGGGAGAAAGAAAAAGAACGAGACAGAATATTTGTGTGTCTGTCTCTGTGTGTGTGTGGGTTCGCAGAAAGAAAAAAAGAAGTAGACAGAAGTGAATAAAGAAGAGAGAGAGAGAGAGAGAGAGAGAGAGAAAAATAAGAGTTAGTGGAGGGAGAAGGAAAGGTGTACAGGGATTGATATTGATTTCAACCACGCGTTGTTGGAAGGCAGTCAGTTAGAAACTAGTCGTTCCACGAGCAGGAGGTTTCGTTATAATATGCCTCCAAAGTGTAACAACAAACTTAATGATCGAGATCTACCCGAAAGAACATCTTGTATTGGTGACAGGATAAAGGATCCTCTGAATCTTGCTGTGACGACCCTCGGTGCGTTTTACTTTTTCCTCTTCTTCTTAACGTCATCATCATCATTGGTGGTACTGCCAGATGATATTAGAAGAATAAGGTAATGAACGTAACAAGGAAAAACAAACAAAAAATTCACAACGTTTTTTCTTCTTCTTCTTCTTTTTCTTCTTATCGTTCTTCTTCGAATGATTCAGTTGGAATTCCATTAGTCGGATTGGATTTCCTTGATAATTTGTTCGGAAAGATGGAAGAGGGGGAGTCCGCGCGGAATGGGTCTTTTTACAATTATTTTTTCTTTTTTTTTTTATTTAATTATCCTTCGTAGAAATGGTGACGGTCACTGTACCGCGCGGGAACATGCGCGTATTTTGAACATAAATAATCGATGAGTGATTAGGATTGTACAATAATCTTATAACGTCACGTTTACATTGAGAAAATTTGTTCCGACAAGTTAATGGTAAACAATGGTTTATGCGAAATAATAATGATCTATTGTTATTTTGTCATAATAATTATCATTATCGATAGTAGTTGTGTAGCAAGTTCATTTCTTTTTTTTTTTCAATTAAATAATTATGTTTTATGTCAATTTTATTGTTGTCGGATTTGTAACTTATTTTTATTTTAATTTATATAAAAAATATAAAAAATATCTCTTTAGAAAGATTAATCGTATATATATATATAAATATATTTTTTTTCTTTTATACTTATATGTCAAAATCTTTTATTGCATTTTAGATCGATAATACATATATTCTACTGTTGTTTTTGTGTTAAATAAATGGGGGAAAAAAAAAGGTTGAAAACATATTCGTTTTAACATGCTATAATAACGTTAAAAACCACAAAAAAGGGATAGATCAATTTATACGCTTGGGTGAACAAACATCTGGCCCATACGTCAAATTTCCTTTCGCCGATTATGCGAAAGCCACAACATGGCGTCGTTGCACAGACGAAACTTTAGGACGCGTTCATTATTTTGTGATTATTAACTCTTTCATTAAATGTTTCTTTTCTAAATGACTTGTAATTAATTATAGACGTTTGGAAAAAAAAAACAAAAAAAAAGAGAGGAAAAAAGAATATTCAAGATTTTTCTTGCACGATCTAGAATGACAATGCAAATTAAATCGACACTACAAGAAATAATTGTTATTTTGTTAATAATACTAATAATTCAATGTATTATACAAGTCATTCGTAAAGACTAAGTCACGCTATCGACTTAATAACTATAATTTATAAGCACGAGTATTTAAAACTCAAGGTTATTGAGAGTAATAAATCAACAATTATTCGATAATTGAAATCATACAAGTCAATTGAATTGGATACTTCAAAATTGCAACTATTTGGTGCACATCCAATCCAATAGATAATAAATTCGAAACTATGTGAGGTATGAGTTATAATTTGAAACAAGATTCTCTTAATTGTAACCGTAAAGAGTGTGCGTTGGATGGGCAGGAATCTCTCTCTCTCTCATTGTCAGTTAAAAGATTTATTAAATTAAATTGGTGAGTCGTGTTTAACGAACACAACGGGGAATAGAATAGCGAATGGTGATCGTGGTAATAATGATCAATCAGTAAAAGTAAAGAGGTTTTATACTCTCTTTAGTGTTCGCGCTTGGCATCACAGGATAATTTAATGTAGTGTGATTAGGATAGTAGGAAGGAGAAATAGGGGGTATAATATAAGAATTGCATCGTTTCATCTACACGGTGCACGCTTTCGATCACAACCAGTGCACAGGAGATCGATCAGTCACGAGTCAGGCGTACTTCCGAACGTTTATCGGTAGTATCAAATGCTTTCTAAGATCGAACAGGTTGATAAACTCATCGATCAAATATTCTCCCGTCAGCATACGATCAAGGAACCTATACTTTTGTATATACTTCTTTTTCTTACATCTTCAGTTCTTGGTGTATGCTAGAAAAAACATTTTTGGTGTGTTAATAGTGTTACTTATTTTTCCTGTGAATGTTGTTTTTTTTTTCTCTTTGTGTGTGTGTGTGTTCTTTAAGTATACGTACAACATATATATCGTTGATTGTTTCCTTGTTTTCTTTCTTAAAAAAAAAATTATTTAGCGAAAAATACGCATCGTTACTTATTGGTATATATTTATATTTGCCAATCATATTTTTTTTTTGATGCATTTACTTTGTTGTTTATTATTATTATTAAGGTTTCAACATTTTTAAATTCTAAAGAAGTATTATTATAATCCACGAATATATCACTAAATTCGTGATGAAGGTTTTGTCTTTATACGAAAATTTAAACGTACAGTAATGCACGATATTTTTATTCCTTATTTATTCTTTTTAAACTCGTTTTGTCTTTATAATTGTCTTGACGTCATCGTTTACGTGTTTGCTTGCATATATATATTTCTTGATCATACGATTCTGTAATTGTATACCAAAATGTCCGATATAATAAAATGTTCGAAAAATAAATAATTTCGTATAATAACAAAATTATTAACAAAAGTAGCAATAATTTTTAGTCAAATTTGTTGATAATATGTGTGAATCGTAGTGATTGATTCGAAATTTTTCTACGCGTGATCTTAATATTTCTATAAATATTTTTAAATTTATCAACCATTGCATTTCATTCGAGTTAATGTTTGTTATTCCCTCGACTCTTTTTTTATATTCTATTTTTGATCGATCAAAAAACTAGTACTCGCCAATCGTTAGATACAAAATGAAAATGATAAGATACGCGATGATATGGATATGAAAAATGCAGCTTTTCTTGCAACACAAGGAAAGAAAAAAATTAAAAAAAAAAATCCGATAGAGATAAGCGTTATTTATTTGTAATATCTCAATTTCTGTCCTAGGAATATGTTTTTCCCAAGTTCAAATATTTTTTTACTTCTTCTTTTTTTACGTAGTGTGCTGTTCGATAAAGCTTGCATAATTTCACATAAATTTGAAATTGCATCATAAATTTTTTCAGTAAATGAATACGAATTGATAATGTACAAATAGCTTCGATAAAAAAATAAAATATATGTGGATCCGATAAAATAATCGATTAAAATGGAAATGTAAAAATAAGTAAAAATTAAGATGAAAACGCATAAAATGTACATTATTCATTTGTAAGTAAAAGAAATTCTATTCTGTTAACTATTCAATTAACTAAAGTCTCATTCCATACGAAAATATATTTTTTTTTTTAAAAGTGTTCTTTTAAATAAATTCGTTTTCACGTGAACGATAAATTCGTACGTTTAATTGCACTATTAAATAGTGGCGTTACTTTTTTACATTTCCGATTGGCATAATTTTTTGTAAAAAATAGTTTCCCTGTTTAATATAGAAAAAAAAATGTTTCCATGCAAACGAGATAATCTTATCTTTAAATTATTACAAAAGTCACTTTTATACATGAAATGAATAACGTTAAATATTCCTACATGCCCCCCCCCCCCGGAAGATAAAATAATCAAATTGTTAAAAAGGTTTCGTTAAAACGGTGTCACCTGAGTTGAGTTAACGCGAGAAAATCGATAATAATAGGAGAAGATTGTAATAAATTAACGTGGAATTAATATTGACTGATTGACCCAACTAGTGTGACCTCCGGACATTTGTAACATGTATAGAACAGAGTTGACCGTTTCTTCGTGCGAACCTCAGCGACATAGGTCAGCAAGGGTTAATTAATTGAAACTGCCTACCATCTGTGCCTACTACCATGATTAAAAGATTTCATGTTCACTCTGTTCGATATTATACAACAATTTTGATGTATTACTCATTCGAAATGTCGACAATTTTTGTTTTGTAATTATCCATACTTTCGAACCGAACGGAAATAATACGAATTTTAATTTTTGTTTTTGTCAAATAATTCTTTTTCTTTAAATCATCGTACTAATCTGTGACGTTAAAATCATTATAATTGAGAAGAAACACGCGAACGATTAAAAACGTCGTAATAAATACAAAACAAAACAAAATTAACGTCGAGAAAATAGAAGTTGTCTTGTAATAAAAATTATTGTATGCAAAATGGAAAATTAAAATTGGCGCCTTTTGTTAGAAAATTACAGTGAAGGTACAGTGCTGCGCTCTTTAATCAACTCAGGTGTCTTATTTCGTTTTTGAGGTTACGACGATCAATAGTATTGTAATAGAACTGTTTTTTTTTTTCAAGACATTCCTATCTTTTTTATAGTTAATTATTAATCAAAAAACAATGTTTTTCCACGTGAGAAGTTTAATATCACCGAAAAAATTTATTTACATATTCCTACGATGTTCTTTATGTAAGTCGTTGAGAAAATTATTCCGATAATTAATAAAATTATATTTACGTCACGTCTATAAGTTATATTAAATAATTTAACGAAATTCGTTTAAACGTTTATTTAATATTTAAATTAAAAAAAGAATTAGATAATCGTTCTTTTATTGATAAATATTTGATAAATTGTAAATATATTAATGAAAAAATAAGAAACATAATGGACTTTTTGTCACATTAATTAGAATTTATATTCTTTGATATAAAAATAAATTGATATTATTTGGAATTCGTGTGTCTATAAAAACAGTTGAATTATTAAATCAATTTGAAAATATTTGCAATCGTTTCTTTTTGTTTTTTATTATATAAATTTAATTAAAAACTCATCTGAAGATGACTTAAGAAGCCCGCGAAATTTTTAAATTACTCTCGTATCTTTTCGATAATCGAACTGTCGATTATTTCAAAATCCTTCAGTTTGAAATATCCATTTTGATAAAATGTTGTTGGTATTATATTAAAAAATATAAACAATTAAAAAAAATTTGTCTCAAAATGAGCTCTAAAATTTATATTGTTAAAATTATTAAATTTTTGTTATAATATGTGGTATATATTATTAAAAATTTTTATTAAATATTAAATATCTTTGATGAGTATTAAAAATATAAAACTATAGAAGAAACATTGCTAGAAAATGAATTAATATCAATATAAATAAAAGTCTATTCTTCTTAAAAAAGATTTAATCATCAGACCATGAAAATAATTGACTTCGTTATTAAACTACTAACCACAATAACAGTGCATTTAAAGTTACTGACTGTGCAAATTTAAAAGACTTTTTTAAAGTAACTTTTTCCGCATTTGGTATTATGAAAAATTGCATAAGAAAAAAGTGAAAAATTATCAAACAATTGCTAAATTAATCATAATTACATATAATATTATAATAATTATAAATTATTAACAAATGTATTTCTTTTGCATTACAGGTCGCCAAGCAATGTTAAACAAATTCTGGAATTATGAAGTATTACGAAAGTATTTTAACACAAAAACCGAGCCACCTCACGTCCAATTGTTTTCTCAACCAAAATGTCAAATCCACGTGGCCAGCTGGTATTTATTATATCGTTGGTTGATCTTCCTTGCCTGGATCAGTATTATCTTCTGTTCGTTATTTGAATTTGGAAGTTACAAGCCTCAATACAACTGGGAGAAATGGCCGATATATTTGACCAACTGGGACTTGGCGTTGGGACTGACTCAATCATTCTTAGGAGCTTTAATAGTTTCCAAAAGATGGAAACTACAAAAGGATCCAGCTTATAACATTAGTGATATGAAATTGACCATGTTGGAAAAATCCTATTGGGTTTTTTATACGGTGACATCTAGTTTAGCCGTTGGTGTGACTGTTACTTATTGGACTGCAGTGTACAACCCTAAAATTAATTACATAGACCCATTGAATATAATGTTACACGTTTGTAACAGTATTTTAATGCTCATAGATTTGTCGATCACGAGTGTTCCGATATATATAAAAAATGTGTGGTGGTGCCTTATCGTGGTATTATTTTACATAATATTTTCAATAATATATTACGCGGCAGGTGGTCTTGATAAAAATGGCTATCATTATATTTACAAAATTCTTAATTGGGAAAAACCTATCCAAACTTTACTGATATGCGCGGGATGTATGACATTTATCGTATTATTGCATTTTCTCCTATGCTTATTCGATAAACTCAGAGACTGCTTGTACTTTAGAATAACGAAGAAAACTTATAATGTTCCTTCCATTAAAACCGATTACAATGTTACAAAAAAAGAGGCCGAAATTGTTTGATCAGTGAGATACTTTGAATAAGTTTTTTCGGTAGATTAACATTTATATACATACATTTTTGAAAATTGTTCAAAAGCATTCCCGCTATTCGGTTCATTCCAATGTTCGTCCAATATACGAATTGTAAATGAAACAAAATTATAGTACATTATGCATTTATCTTGCTATTATTGATATCTTAAAAACTAACATAAGTTTCATTCATAGCAATATTATTAAGATTCCGTCTCGATATTTTGCAATGATATTAGAATAATATACAAGTATTATGTCACACATAAGATCAATTCCAACGCGAAAGTTAGTTTGTATGATCCTTTTTTCTTTTTTTTTTTCTTTTTTTTAAACCGATCGCCAATACCATCTCATGAAACATTATAATCGGGCGAATTTGAAAATTATTATATCCACCATCAACATATATATATATATACATATATAATTTATTCGCACTTTCTTTCACTCATCGACTCATCAATGCATATTATTTGATAACACTATTTTGTATACCTCGCTTTATGATAAATTTTAGATTAGTTATATCTTTTTTTTAAATATTACATTAAAAAACGTGTACTTCTTTGTACACGCATACAAAAAAGTTCCTTGATTTTGTAGAAAAGTATTTTGTTTACTTGTAACACCAAAGAATGAATAATTGTAAACATTAACGTTTAATCTTAATCTTTTGTATAAATTTATGTAACAACGCATCTTATTGCTGTTAAAGAGGAAAAAAAAAAGAAGAAAAAAAGAGAGAGAAAATATCGTAATAGAAAAATGAAATAATAAGTAGACTATATATACGTATATATATACATATATATATATATACATGTATATTTATGAATATATAATTTTTATGAAAAAATATCAACAATTTATTAATAAAATAACGATGTGTAAAGCAATTATGGACTGTTATACAAATAAATCATGAGGCTCGAGGCGGCCCCCCGATCACAGACCATATATTTAATTTTTTTTATAACTATACTTAAAAATAATAGTGATCGTTAATTTTTTTTTATTTCTTGTTTTTTTTTTCTTTTTTTTTTTTGTTTTTTTAATAGCAATATTCAAACATTTAACACATTATTCAAGACCGCGCAAATTTACAGCACTTTCCGACGGTCCTGAATCAAGTAATAAAACTTGATACTCCGTTCCCCCTACGTCGTCTTGATAATACATAGATGGTAATTCTTCGGTAAATAATAATTCCCCTTTCATATCACTAGCACCTAATGTTACATCCGATGCTCCCGCAATGGAACTCATCGGCGCACCTTTTGTTTTTAATTTACACACGTCCGAAAATGTTAAATTTGTCCTCGCGGAGCCGTGATTTTTTTTAACGTTAGATTGCAATAATTGTTCGTTCGTTGCATTTTCGTGAATAGAATCGTTTCTTAGAACGATGTCTAAGAGAGGCGGTTGCGTTTCAGGCAAAGAATCCATTTCCGAAGGGTTGTTAACAACTACAGTATCGCATGGCGTTACCATGACCATTTGTTCGGTAGATTCCGATGCTGAAGAAGGTGGAGCATATAAGACATAGTCCATATTGTTAAAATCTATAACATTTGTAGATTTACTTTTTAATGATTTATCACAATCTCCGATAGGTGTACCGTGTATTTTTGACATGTGCGCTCTTAACGTCGCTTTTGTACTATACGATCTTGTACATGTTTCTACAGGACAATGATATAACGTTTTAATTTCATCTTGATTAGATATCATTTCTAAGCTTTGATTTTCGTCGTCGTTATTTAAACTCGATTCGCACGGTTGAGACAATACTGGTGTGGAAGCATTCTGGGAAATAAGATCTTTGTTAAGTTCGATAGATTTTTTTTTCTGCGTTACAAAAGGATTTGCTTTAGAACAACGAGATTCAGTCATTATAAAACGGTTTTTTATACTCGAAGATTCGCTGAACGTTTGTTTAGAAATATTTCTTTCTATCTCTTCTTTATTTTGATGTTTCTTAATGTGTACGTACAAACTACTTTTTGCAGAAAATTGTGTGTTGCATATGCAACATTGAAAGTACCTCCCTTCCTTGTGCGTCAATCTATGTTCTTTAAGATGTTCAGATCTCATAAAGGCTTTTCCACAGGAAGCAACATCGCATATAAATTTCCGTTCATTAGTATGCTTTTTTTGATGCCTTTTCAACTTACTGGATGAAGAAAAAGCCCACTGACAGCCTTGAAAAGTGCAAAGATATGGCTTACACCCAGTGTGAGAACGTATGTGTGCTTTCAGTCTACATGGTTTGTCAAATACCTTACCACATCCGGGCCATGAACACTTAACATCGATTTCTTTGTAACTGTGGCACCTTTGATGCGATGTTAATGCATTACTACTATAATATCTTTTACCACAACCTTCGTGTTTACATACGTAAGGTGCATGACTCTGATCATGTGATCTCATGTGCAACTCCAGTGCTCTCTTGGTTTGAAATTTCTCCTGACAATCGGGTACGTGACACTTAATTCTATTAGGACGAGTATGTAATTTCTGATGACTCCATAAATTATATATGGTGGTAAATCTTCTATTACAACCCTCTACTTGACAAGCGTAATCTTTACGTTTCGAATGAGTTTCTTTGTGCCGTTTTAATTTAAATTCCGAATAAAATGCCCAAGTGCATCCTTCGTTGTCGCACTAAAATCAAATTAAATTATTTAATTATAAGCATAAGAAAAATATACTGTAGATATAATATAAATTCTATACTTTGTACCTTAAACGGTCTCACTCCGTAATGAGATAGCAAGTGTCCTTTTAAAGCATACAGTCTATTGAATTGTTTATCACAACCTTCTTTTGGACATAACCAAAGTTTCCCATGTTCGCTTACCGTAACAGGTTGCAAATTGTCATCCGTAACCCCTAATTCCGCTAAAGCATTAGATATTATCATTTCATGTTGACTGCTAGGATTCATTTCAGAATTGCATTCTAAGGATCCGCTCCAAGCTGGAGAAGTTTCTATTCTTGGCAATTTAGGAAAATTTCCTGTAGCTTCTATCAGTTCTGATGTCTTACCCTGATAAATTTGTTCTTCTGTACCAGTATTAATAACAATTTGTGTCATATTAGAAATTTTATCTGTCGATATGGCGACGACAGTCATTACGCCTTCCTTGGATTTAATTTTTTCATCAAATTTGTCAGATATCCTTCGACGTTTCTTAATGATTCTTGGTTCCAATTTGATTCTTGCCTTGGATTTCAATTGTTGCATAATATTATTGCCAGAGTTAGCTACATCAATAACGTTTGTTGTATTTTCTATAACGTCATCGTTATCAAGAACATCAGTAAAAGAATTGGATACACTTTTTGGAGAAGAAACGATATTATTAGCTTCAGGTGTATCTTGCATAACGTTAATGTTTTCAAAGACGATAGGCAAATTGGTCAACTCTGTGGAATCAACCATAGAAGTATGATTTTCAGTATCTTCTGTTTGATCGATCAACTGTACTCTTTCTTTTTCCGATTTGTTAGATGTATCAGTAAGATGTTCATTTGGCGTAGTCAAAGAAGTAGAACCACTGGTGGACGGTAAGATTTCCCCAGCGACCATCATATCATCAGGTGAAAGAGCCAAAGGATCAAGTTGGTCCAACCTAAATTCGGGTAATATAAATTCATCATCTTTTTCGCATACCCCTAACAATTTCTCCGTCTGAAGTTCTTGCAATATGGAATGCTCGTAACTCAGGTTAAGTTTTTTATCGGACAAATCAATGTCAATGGACAAAGTGTCAGGATCCTTCGGTAAGAAAGAATGTGTCAAATCGTTGGTTAAATATCTTTCTACGTTTTCTTCTACCTCCAATTTGGTAACATCCAACTCCATGCTTGAGACGGATTCCGTTCTCGCTTTCAACCATTTTTCGATGCTAGCAACTGTCTCTACGTCTCCTGTTTTATCTTCGGGATCATCAACAATACCACCAGCACCAACTTCTGAAGGTATACATTTAAGAAAGGTCGATGAATGATCCAAACACCAAACTATTTCCGTATATCCGTTACCTTCCTCGTGATTTTTCGTCTTAAATTTATTATTTTTATCTTCGATTAACAGTTTTTTACTTTCATCCGGCAAAGACGTCAACGAACTCGTTTCTATTTGTTCGGATATCACCGAACCGGCGTTTACATCAACGTATGGCCACACAAGAGAAACCGATGATGCTCGACGGTTTCGAAAGAATCGCGGGAATTGTTTTGACTTACAAGATGTTGTTGAACAAGCAACAGCAGCAGCTACTTCTTTACGAGACATTTGACTATTCCGAAACTTTGATTCCTTCTTAGGGGTCCACATTGAGCGACAATCCCGCCGCCATCGAGGCCGCCCTCGGACAACAAAGTCGGTTCTCAAAAGACCGGCTAAAACCGATCATAAATATTTATTCTTTTAGCACACAACTCTTCTTATTATTATTTTTATTCTTTCTTTTAATATTACCTTTTTAGTTTTTTATTTATCTTTTTTATAACTCGTAAATTTCTTTTAGTTCCTTTTTCATCAATTTTCTATTCACATGAAATATTTAAATAATGGCTCAAGATTTTAACTAATGTATCGAATTATTTCTGACGTAATCTCTCTTTTACGAAATAAACATTTATTATTGGTCTGTTACCAAATGCGCGTGAACGTATTTATAAAATGTTAAGGCTCGGTACTCACGATCGGAAAATTTTTTATTTAAAATAATTTCATCGATGAGTTATTAATTTTACTACATTTTACAACATTTCTATTGTTCTCGAATTAATTTTCTAATCGTCTAATCAATCATCTTTTATCTTTATCCGATGAGTTATACTTATTTTTTTAAATTTTGTTAATATAAGTTTTAATCTCATGTCAATTGAGCTTAATCTTAAAAATAGTTTTGTTGCGATGCAGGCATTTGCTATAAATAATATGACGTAATAAAATGCAGAATTGTGGAAAAATTTATATCGAATACTAGTTATGATCGATATAGATCGATATCCACATTTTCCTTAGAATTGTCCAATCAGAATTGACTTATGAAGAAAGTAATTTCAACACCATAAGTGAAATATATTCATTATCGATTATTTTCTAATTTGTTGTTATTGTCATGAAAATAACTTTTAGAATGATTAAATTTATATATTTATAAGCATATGAAAACTAATATTACGAATTAAATGTTTGGGGTTAGTTTCTATTAACCAACCGTATAGTAGTGCCATCTGTTTCGAAGCATAATTTTAAACCATGAATTATCATTGGTCGAGTAAAATTATTTGAAAATTCGGATTTCGGAATTGTTACAAAAATGTTTAAGTAAACAATTAAAAAGTGAAATAATAAAAATAAAATAATAATAGTTTTTAAGTTCGCATTTATATCGAATTTTTACTTGTCGTAATAATTTTTATTATTTGTAAAAAAACATTGAAAAGTAAGTGAACTTTTTAATTGTTAATATTTGTTTAATTGCAAATCATCCCCTTGATATTTTTTGACTACATTTAATAATCTTTAAAATTTGAAAATTATCTATTAATTTTGTTTGTAATAATTTGCTTAATGTATGATTAGGATTTCTTATAAGTTTGATAAAAGATTTTCCATATGGGTTCATTTTAGTATTAAAAGGTTGCATGATATTATTAGTTATAACACCATCTTCACAAGTGAATGCATTCTTTTCTTTTTCCTTTGGTCTCATTTCTTTGAACAGTATTGGATTTGTTTTAAATGTACTACTCTTGCAGTTATTATGATTTGGAGACTGTACCGCAGAATAATATCTTAGTTTCTGCGACACAAAAAATTCAAATATATTTATACTTCAACTAAAAATTGTAATATATAAATGTATTTGCATTTGTAATTTGTATTTGTGTAATGTATTTAAATGATTACTTTTTCATTATTTTCCATGATCATTTTACATAAGACAGCTCTTGGAAGTTTATACGGATGATATGGTATTGGCTGCGGTTCAAAACATTCATGCTTATTAGTTTTAATAATTTCTGTATAAATTAACACATCTCCAGGAGTTGACTGATAAGATGGATTTAACAAACGTGGATCTTGCTTGCGTAATTTCATTTGTTCTTTATAAGTTATCGGATGGATGCATGATGGTGGACAAGATTTTTTTAATTTGATTCCAAATATACGTTGCCAGAAAGATGGCTTTTTTTCTTTAGATTTAGTCTTTTCGCAATTAGTTGATTTTTCTTTATTTGCAGAAGGAGACTTATGAAATTTAAATAACCGTTGTTTGGATTTTGTTGTAGGCTTATCATAGTTCTTCAAACATTTAGAAGATTGTCCGGTAGAAGGTTCTATTCGAGTAAGAGGTAATTTTCTACAGCTTCCTGACATGTGTTTATGTTCTTTATTAAATGGTAATGTTTTCAAATTTCCAAACCAGTAGGTTCTATTATTTTGTTTAAGGATATTATAAAATATTGGAAAATTATTGGTATGCTTGTTAATCTAATTAAAATAAAAATAGAATTACCAGAGTTTATTGATCTTACGAACAAAATATTTTTAATTAACAAATAATTCAAATGTTGAAATTTTTAGTTTCAAAATTCTTGTTTGTGTAATCAATAAAAGTTAAATATAAAAATAATATACTCACGTTTAATAAATTAGAAATATTAGCCATTATTTGAAAAATGGTGCATTTTTAAAATGAAGAAATTACCTCTTACATGATAGTTCATGTTAAATTAATTGTTCGGAGATTTTTCATTAAAAAGATTTAATACAAATTATTAAATATAATGACTAATCATCGATATGTGACCATATTCACATAGTTGTCGATATATATATATATCTATAATTTATTATAAAGATCGTAATATTATATATAATTTATTTAGAAAATATGTTACTTCAATTAAATATAATTAATCGGTTTAAATGAAAATGCAGGTGATTTTCAGAGGAGAGGATTACACGGATCGTTGCCGATATCGATTTGGTGCTTTGATCACCGACCGTTTCCGATGTCTATGTAAACCTCTAAAGTGGCCTTACCATCAATTTGACCAGGGTCGATTTCGGGAAATACGGGGATTATCGATACCACGCCTACAAATGGAATCGGATCTCGTTGAAATGGGAATAAAGGTAAATCACTTTAGGAATTCATTTGCATTAGAAATTAACTTTACGCTTTTCCAACTTATCTCACTTTAATTCAAACATTAACAAGTCTAATTAAAAGCCTAATTAAACATGCAATCATTTCTAGGAATGCAAATATAAAAAGATTACAAGTAAAACATTAATCAATTACAAGATCAATCATAATCGGTTTAAATTCAAGACGTTCTGTTGAGAGACTCAATTCTTAAAGAAGAGAAATACAATCTCTTTTTTTCTCATTCCTAATCTTCAAAATCGTATAGAGGGAGAGAGAGAGAGAGAGAGAGAGAGAAACAAGGTGGATGGATGCAAGGAGAACTGTGGAAGCATTTGCGAGCCGGTGCGCAGATTGATTCGGTTCGGCTAAACCGCCGGCGTAGCTTCGATTCCCGCCACCCCCTTCCCTACTTTGGAAGAGAGGATCCTCTGAAGGGGTGCCGGTGTTATCCCGAGCCCCGATTTTCTGCCGGCGAGTCGCGGTGAGGAAGGGTGTTTACTCAAGACACGACAATTCATTACGTAATTGAATTGAATGAGGCCTCTCCCTCTACTTCACCTCCTCCACCTCCTTCCACCTCTCAAATCCAACCGCCCTTCTACCTACCCAACGTTATACGAGCTTCTACTACATTCTTGCTTTTACGTGTATGGGTGTACACCATATATAGAGATAGGTGCCGTTAGCAAAGGGATGGGGTTTATTCTAGCAGACCCACACACACACACACACACGAGAACGCGTGCACGCTCGCGCGTTCGCCGCCTGTGGGGTATGCTAGCAACCGAATTAAACGATTAGTTAAACTGATTTCGAGTTAGGTGAATGAATAAGTAATCGGATTTCTCGTTAAGGTAATCGCATTGCGTCCTGATTGGCTCCGTCTGCCTGCGTTTATAAGCCATACCCTCTCTCGCCCTACCATTCCAACCTCCCTCCTGACCCTCTCCTCTACTCTCCTCTCCTTTACCCATCTCTCTCTTTCTCTTTCTACCCCTCACCCTCTCATTCTCAGGGTGCACGTTGTCGGACCACGCGTACGCCTTTTTTCCCCCTCATTTCCCTCGCGTATATCCTCATCTCTTTTCTCCTTACCGCTTGTCCGACTCAAATTTTCTCTCTTTTTCAATCCCTTACCACCATCTTTCCTTTCTTTTTTCTTCTTCCTTTTATTTCAACGTCTTTCCTACTTTTTCATATTATCCAGTTTGCACACGAATTTTTGTTTTGTTTTTTTGGTCTTTTCTTCTTCTTTTTTCTTTTTAAGTACAAGCATTCCTACGATTTCGTATCGTCCATTTTATTTGTACAATTTTCTTCTCGTTTGTTTTTTTGTATCCGTTAAAAAGTAAAAGCAATAAGGATTAAGTTTATATGTCTACACACGTGTCTCTACGTGTACAGTTACTCCATGATACTACTGTGTTTACAAGTTTTCCTTTTTTCTCTCTTTTCACCGACCCATTCGTTCTCCACTTCCTTCGTTTTCTTCCAAACCACCCCTCCTGCCCCTTATTTATCCATCTTTATCCAATCTCCGTGTCTATATCTATTCGATGAGACGTCGTTGTACGAGACGACGATGTGCCGAGCATGTTTGCCCGAGCAATTACATTCCCGAACGCAATCCCATTTAAATATTGCCGAGTTTGGTGCTGGTAAATAGGGGACGACGCACCGTAGCACAGGGTCGCAATTCGGGATTCGATTCAACGTGCGTGTCGTTTTCCTTTGCATCATTTCAAAATTGTTCTTTTCTTTGTTTTTTCTTTTTTATTGAATTTAAAGCAAAGAGCGTTAATTTATTCGGAAATAGATGATCGCGGAAAACGTGATTTGAAAAAATAATAATAATATATATATATATGTTTCTGTAATCCATGTATCGTATTTTAAAATATAATATCAGATTTGAATACTAAATCTCTTATTCAAATTTGATCAATATTAAATAATCATATAAAATAAAAATCTCGTTGAATTTCTTATTTCAAATTAAACAATAATTATATTTAAACAAGAGAAGAAGAATAAGAAGCTGAATAAAATCGGCGGAAGGAATAGACGAGCCCAAAGGTGTGCTCGCGGCCCTGAAGGTGCGATTTGCACCTTTGAGAAGAAGCGAGAGGGTAAAAGAGAGGAGGAGGGGGTCGAGAGAACGCGCTGTTGGGGTTTTCGGATGCGTTAGGAAGCTTAGGTAGGGAGGACGAGGAGTTGAGGAGAAGGGGTTGCAAAGGACGACGAGGAGGGTAGTTTGGGGGTGCAGGAATGCTAATGAGGGGAGTGGTGTCTCGCTAAGAGGAGATA